TAGAAAATATAAAGTACACAACTTCAGATAACACCATCGATACGTAACTCGACCAATTCATAATAATTTTACTTTCAAATTCTAATTATAATATAAATATTCAGATTTAGACTTGGGGGACTACTATGGTTAAAAATAACCACCCCAACAAGATTTTTGTTTTTATATATAACAGAAGTCCATGCATTAAACTTGGGAGACTATTGTTACGCCTCACCACCGAAACTCCTAGTGGAGGCCACACGTGGACCCCTAATAAAGTTAACAAAGACCAATTGGTCAAAATAAATAAGTCAAAAAAGAAACTGATCTCATTGTTCCGAGACTCTTATGTGGCCGAAGCCCTGTCTCTATCCGAAGCTCTCTTTGGCTGAAGCACCCTCCCCATTTGAAGTCCTCTTTGGCCGAAGCATTTGCAGGCTTTTAAGGGATCCGTAGACAATCTCTAGGAATGATTGATATAACGTTTATACTAATAAATGTCAGGATAGTCAGCTATGATGTAGGGTGACCAACCTGTTGTTAATGTATTAAATGTATAACAAACGAAGTGATGTGAGATTTTGGCTTGGGAGGTGTGGTTCCGTGGTTTTGATCCAACGATTACCACATTAGTTAAAACTTTATAAATAAGCACCTCTTGTAATTCATTCATAAGATATAATGATGCTATTCTTGAAACTTGAAACCACACTCGATCTTCTCTCTTACTTATTCTATATTTATTTGCTTGAGTTTAGATTACTCCTACTTTGGTTGAGTTGTTTATGATTTTTGTTTATATGCAATCATATTTGATTATATTGCGGTGTTTGAACATTTTTGTCTCGCGTCGTAAAATATCTTTCACGTCCGTAAACGCCATCCTTTCCCGTCCAAATCTCCGGTCAAAAAGTGTTTAAAAATTGCTTGCGTGGACGCGAGTAGACCCGACATCTATTGTTCACGCAATCATTTAAAAATGGGGGATCAACAATATATAGGACTGATCTCCTAAGCATTGACACTTAACTTATGTTAAGCACCGGTGCTTAGGAGATCAATTCCATATATACATCTATTCAAAAAAATTTTAAAAACGTTGCTAGAGCAGTCATCCCTATGCCGCGACCCTTGCTTTAGGATGTATCTGGAACGATTTGCAGGGCTTTATCTAGCGCCGATAGTATGCTAACAAATAGCTAGGCAAGTTTTTGGTCATCGTTTCAAACCAAAGTTTTTGGCTGTTGTTTTGTTTTTTCAAAATTTTAATATTATTTTTTCGATAAAACGTGGTTTGACACACACTGCCCTGCATTGAATTTTTCATCATGTAAGACTGTAATCCGAGATGCAAAAACACTATACCATTCTCATTATGATCCATATTATAGTCTGAGTTGAAACCAACTTCAAGCTATATATACAAATGGTTTATTAGAAACATTTTGAAGATGCCAAGATGAGGAAGAAAAATATTTCTTGTTAAAGCTTTAAAAAAATTGTTTCTTAATGGTACAAAAAATACGAGGCCGACCCTTTGTTTGATTCCATTGTATTCGAGCCAACCACATTAGGATACGAGTTGTAAGCTTTTTGTTTCTTAATGGTACAAAAAATACGAGGTAGACCATTTTCTCTTCTCATCTCAAGATTCTCAATTACGTACATATGGTGATATTGATGCGGCGTTGGATATGTTCGCTATAAAAGTGCAAACCACGAGTGCATGGGTCGCTTTCAAGTAATAAAGTGGACTTTTTGAATCCAAGTTGTCGATCCCTCGATGAATGTTTACTTCCGATTACACAACTTTAGTCAATTTAATTTTAACAATAAAAACAAACACACAATAAAACTTGATTTTGGAAAATAAGGAAAATTAACTAAAAATCTACAAAATAAAAAAACCTAAACACTTGGGAATTTTGGAGAAAAAATGTGGTTGGAATTCATGGTTTTGTTTAACCGTCCCCTAATTAATTTATCTACAAGTCAATTAATAAATTACTCATTTACGATGTTAGACCTGCTTTTCCAAGTTTAGCTAATTACCTCTCTTGAGTCAAATTAACCCTAATTGATTAGTGTAATATGCTATATCTCTATGTCGATTAAAACCAAACAGCCGCATTAAATCTTTGTGAGAATATCTCAATGAGTTACCAAGGTTATCCCTAAACAAACTTAGAGTTTCTACTATTTGGTCTAAAATGCACAATTTTCTTTCGAAAGATGTATAAATCACTAAATATAATCATTCATTGACAACATAAATGATAATGCAAAAAATACAATAGTAGAAACAGATGAAAATAAGTATTTTAATACTAAAAAGCAAATATTGAAATTAATCAAGACTAGGTTAAATTTCAACCATAAATCGCAACACAAATACTTAGCCCTTGTTATACAAATGATAAAAAAGAGAATATTTATAACAATGCATTATAAATATGACAAAATAATTGAGAAAATGCAAATTTATTGATAAAACCTTTTTTTGAAGTTTGGCCTTACTTTCCCAAATATTTCTTCAAACCCTTTAATGTATTCTCCTTGTGCTCTTGGTTTATGTCCCCAAAATATCAAGAAAATAAAAAGGAAGAGAAAATGAAAGAAGAAAATGAAAAGAAAACTCAAAGGAAGAAGACTAGGCGATAAATTCTCAAGAAATGTGTTGAATTTGGCTTATAAAAGTCATAGAAACGTGTCCTGAAAATTGCTCAAAACCCCCCCAAAATCTAGCGAAAACAGCAAAATCAGCCCCAACAGAAAAGTGGCACGCTCGCTGGCATTGCACTTTGCTCTCGGGTTAGTTTTTTAGCTTACTGCGTGCACAGATCTTTTCTCCTTTCATGTCGTCTATCTTTGTTGTCCACTATTTGCATGTCTGGTCCCCTCAAATTTGATCTTTTAGAATCTGGACCTCCATTTTTTACTTTCATTTCTATCATACCCTCCAAAAATTGCATCCAAATTCACAATTTTGCTTAATCTTGGCCATTTTCTCATCTTTTTTGTGTTGTTCTATTTCCTTGGGTAAATTTTACCAATAAAAGCAATAATTACATAATTGTGAGTAGAAATTTACTTATTTAATCAATATTCAAGCTCCTTTAGGTATTAAATATGTGTGCAAAAACACACTTATCAGGATACACTATATATGAATTATGGATAGAAATCGGTATGTGCTCCGAGAATGACAACCACGAGGATTAAAAAATGTACACGACGAGATGCATCGTAACTCAAAACATCAAAAGAGCGTATGAGATACGACCCCATATTCATTTTCTTTGAACTCTTAATCTTTTGATTGGTTAAATTTTTCCAAGTATGTTCATTGATTGGAAGTGAGGTTTGATGCCTCTTTCCTAAGGTGGTATATTTTATGTTTCGCTTAATTTTGTGGGTTGATTAAAAAAATTAATTATCAAGGTCATAATATAGTAACGTCAGTTTATAATATCTGTCAACATACCACGGCAATTATAGTAGAACAACCCATGACAGTTTATTCAAAATGGTCGTGAAATGACAAAGAATCTCTCACATGTTTCATGTTTGTGTTGGATAATTTCAATATATATGGGGTCACACGTTGTATATTGAAAAGTGTTGTGATATTATTTAAAGGATATTAGTCATTTAAAGTGATCCGT